GTAGTGAAGGGCTCCGGAAATTTAGACCACCTGGGGTTCTTTAACGTGCACCCAAATCTGAGCACACGGGCCTGCAACGTTTCCGCCTCCATCGGAAATGCAGCCGCCGCAGCCGGGATTCGAACCCGCGCCCTTCCTCTTTAGATTTACGCTCAGGATATTGGCAAGTTCCAATGGCTGATCCTGACCGATCGAAGATTGCATTTTTAACACCTGAGGGGCTGTATGAGTTTAACGTCATGCCGTTTGGGCTCTGCAACGCCCCAGCTACCTTCGAACGGATGATGGACACCATCCTTCACGGCTACAATTGGAACACGTGCATCTGCTACCTAGACGAAATCGTAGTTTTTTCTGGCGACTTTTCGACTCACCTTGTTCGTCTTTGTGCTATTCTCACGTGTCTCACCTCTGCTGGCCTTCAACTTAACATCAAGAAGTGCCATTTTGCCGCACACCAGCTCACTATACTGGGTCACGTCATCTGCAAAGAGGGTGTTCTCCCGGATCCGGCGAAACTCCGCGCCATGGCCGACTATCCGTAAGCCCTAATTTCATCCAGACACTTCGAAGTTTTATCGGCCTGTGCTCACACTTTCGTCGACTTATGCGCAACTCCTCTTCCATCATCGCGCCTCTTACCAACCTGTTGACAATTTCCAAAGGCATTTCTGCTTGGTCAAAAGAGTGCGACGAATCCTTCACCGCGCTTCTGCGGTTATTATTATCACCTCCAATACTACGTCATTTTCACCCCGACGCGCCTACGGAGGTCCACACCGACGCCAGTGGTGTCGGTCTCGGTGCTGTATTGGCTCAACGAATACCAGGATACCAAGAATACGTGGTCGCTTACGCGAGTCGAACCCTCAAGAAAGCCGAGTGTAATTATTCCATCACGGAGAAAGAGTGCCTCGCAATTGTCTGGGCTTTGACGAAGTTCGGCCCATACCTTTATGGCCGCCCTTTCGAAGTCGTCACGGACCACCACGCTCTATGCTGACTATCATCGCACGAAGACCCGTCGGGGCACCTTGGTCGTTTGCGCTTCGCCTACAGGAATACGACATTCGTGTTGTATACCGATCCCGCCGCAAGCACTCCGACGCTGATGCGCTATGCCACTCGCCGCTACCGGCTGACCCAACCTCCTCGTCACCTTCTTCAGCTGTCATAATACCAATCGACTTCACAGAAATGGCATCGGAACAACGCAAATATGTGTGGATTTCCCAACTCTTCGCCTTTCTGACTGATCCGTTAGCTAATTTATTCTCAAGAACTATCCGCCGTCAAGCCATACATTTCGCTATTCGAGACGACCTCCTCTATTGGCGGACTTACACGTCTGAAGGTCGGAGGTAGCTGTTAGTGATACCCAACCACATGCGCTCGGAAATCTGTACAGCTTTCTACAACGACCCGCAAAGCGCTCACACCGGCGCTCTCAAAACGTACAGCCGTCTACGTCAGCGGTACTACTGGCGTGGCATGTACACATTTGTTCGCAAGTACGTACGTGCTTTGACTGCATGCCAGTGGCGTAAAGCCACACCCTAACGCCCTGCCAGTACACTTCAGCCTCTGCCTTGTCCAGCGCGTCCATTCGACCGCGTCGGTATCGACTTATACGGACCACTTCCCTCGTCATCTTCTGGAAATATGTGGATAATTGTCGGCGTGGACCACCTCACGCGTTACGCGGAGATGGCAGCACAACCCACAGCAATCGCGAGGGAAGTTGCATTTTTCATCTTGCGCAACTTCGTTCTTCGCCATGGTGCTCCCCGCGAACTTTTGAACGACCGGGGGCGTGTTTTCTTGTCGAACGCCATTCAAGCCTTCCTCGCTCAGTGCAACGTGGTTCACCGCATGACGAAAGCATATCACCCGCAGACGAATGGCCTCACAGAACGATTTAATGGCACTCTCGGTGATATGTTGACGATGTACACAGCTTCAGACCAGACCAATTGGGACACTGTCCTTCCATTCGTCACGTATGCGTGTAACACCGCTACGCACGCGACAACAGGGTTTTCCCTTTCATTTCTGTTGTACGGACGCAAACCATCGTGCACGCTGGACACAATCCTCCCATACACGCCTGACTCCTCTGAGTACACTGCAATTTCTGATGTTGCCAGGTACGCAGAAGATTGCAGACGATTGGCCCGTTCACTGACAACTGAGGACCAAGGTCACCAGAAGCTACGGCATGACACCGACCGACATCTCTCTACTTTCTCGACTGGTGCTCTCGTTTGGCTCTGGATTCCACTGAGCACTCCTGGCCTTTCGTCGAAATATCTGGCACGATACTTTGGGGCCTACCGCATTCTCGCCCGCTACGTCACCAGTCAATTATGAGATTGAGCCTTTGACACAGTCTCATGACTTACGCCGTCGTGGCCGAGAAATTGTGCATGTCAGTCGCCTGAAGCCGTATTACGACCCCGCTATAGTGACTACGCCTTAAGTCGCAAGGTTGGCTACGCTATTCACCGGGGGCCAATTTAGGGAACTATGCGAACGACGACGAAGCAGCAAGAAAACGGCAAGCCACAGCGTTGGCGCACACGCGCGACCCGAGCTTGCGCTTGTTTTGTATTTTCGGCCTGTTGGCGTTCCTCGCTCTTCTGCTGTTCCTCGGCCTTCCAGTAGGTTTATACGTAAATAAAGGACGTGACGATATATATATATATATATATATATATATATATATATATATATATTAGAAGAGAAGAGACGCAACTTAGCGGTTTTCTTAATTTTATTTCCGACGGTTTCGACCAGTGGTCCGGTGTTCTTCAGTGTTCGCTAACCCTGATGAACACCAGTACACCAGTCGAAACTGTAGGAAATGAAATTAAGGCAACCGCTGTGTAGTGTCTCTTCTCTCTCTCTCTCTCTCTCTCTCTATATATATATATATATATATATATATATATATATATATATATATATATATATATATATATATATATATAGTGGGAGTAATAATTCAATGGGCCAGTTAGTCTTCGTGAAGGTTTGGGATATGGCACAACGGGAGCGTTGCCAAAAAGGATAAATATATTTATTTCCCAACAGTTTCGTGAGGGGTCCCCTCTTCATCAGGGGATGAGTTATACTAACATGAACTTCCAAACTTCGTTGCTGCCGCGTCCCTCTCGCCTGGAAAAATGCTTGCGAGAGTGAGAGAAAACTAAAAAAAGAAAGAAAGAAAAAAGAGAAGAAGAAAGACGAAAAGAAAAAAAAGGAAAAAAGAAAAAAGAAAAAAAAGAGAAAATTAAAGTGAAAAGACGAAGAACCACTGTCAACACTGAGAACGAAACCAAATGTCCGTGTACGTCCACATCCGGTTCTTATCCCGTGCTGGTCAGTTCGCGATTTGTATCGGGCCACCACCCAAGATTGTCGCCGCGGTGGCGGGAGCGGTCCGTGAAGGCGTGCGTAAAGAAAGGGTTTCTCGTTAATGGGTCGGTCGGCTCTTTACCTTTCATCTTCGTCCGTTTTTTTATATATATATGTATAAATATAAATATATACAAATAAATAAATAAATAAATAAATATATATATATATATATATATATATATATGAAAACGTAAGAAAGAATAAAATCCCGAAGAGGACACCGGTGCCCGGAATCGAACGTGGAACCTTTGCGTCATGACTGCGAGGCGTTAACCGCTGGGCCAAGCAGCACGTCCTAGAACGGTCAAATAGGAAGGGATTTATATCTACCTTTCACAGCTTCTGACGGAACTTGGGGGGGGGGGGATTCTTGTGGTTTCAGTCGAGCGATCAAAATGGCGCAATGGGCGCGCGTCGCCACATAGCGCGGCGCACGCTCTAATCTCCCACGCGTTCTTTGCACCGCTTAGAGGAGGGGGTGACGCTCCCTCGCGCGCCCTTATTTCACGGGGAGGATCGTACACCTTGGCTGGTTAGGCGCTTTACCAGGAACGATCGTGTTCTTACCGGGCGCACAAAGGTCATTGCAATCATTGCGGTCTCCGTTTGCGAAAAGCGGGCGCTTTTCAAACAGAGTGAATGAGGAACTGAGACGCTTATTTGCGCGTATCTGAACCTGTGCGTACGTTTCGTGCGTCATTTGCGCTTGAGAAACGCGGGGCGCGTTTTCATCTGCTTCTTATTTTGTGCATGTCCTTCCAATTTGTTCCCATTGCCTTTGCGGCAAATCTGTGACTGTTTGCAAAGAGCCAAGTGAATTGCAGACGTTCCAACATTGGGCGATGTAGCTTGTTTTCGCCAAGTTCATGGTTTTCTTTGGGGCCTTTGGGTTTTACCATGGCGAAAATAAATTTGACAAGGTAGTACGTTTTCTCAGGAGTTCTGTAAGAATAAATGAGTTTTTAGCTTATGAGGCTTTAAAAAAATTTCCCAACAGAATATAATTTACCAAAACTTACATCAGTGCGAAGCACTCGTTGCCATCAAGGTAATATGTGGAGCATTTACAATGGTCTTACAGTGATGACAAAGGCACATGCAGAAATGTTTAAACACGGGAAAAAGTGCAGCTGTAACAAACATTTCGGCACCCCGTTTTCCTTTGTTTCATGACATTCAAGCGGCTCTCATGTGTCCGAGATGATTTATGACTCAGAGAAAAAAAATCGAACGAGATACTGAGAAAGAATTGCATGTTTTCAGAAATCAATTTCTTCGAGCGATAAGTATATTACGGTAGCAGGCGGGTAATGAACCAACGACAACGACTTGTGGTTAGCTGCTAGTTATAGGAGGTTTGCGTTGGTAAAAAAGTCGCTAAATGCAATTAAGTGGTTGTTCAAATTTACCATTTACTAGTCAAGGAGGAAGAATTGCTGGTTCTGTCCTGATTCTTATGGCTACCAGCTTTTTTCAAGCCGTGTTCACCTGCTTGCAAACTGGTGCCCAAATATGATAACCTTTTACGTTCTGATTTTTATGGTCATTTGCAGGTTCATAATTTTTTGTGCTTTTTTCAGAAACCTCAAGAATATTCTGGGGAGATCCGTCACCAGAGTTCAGGAACTTATTAAGCCAAGCCTTCACAGTTTGTGTGCAAGAACGGTAGGCAAGCTGTACAGTGTGGTGCCAAAGAGGTGCGTGAATTGATTTCTCTTGTACAGAGGCCTATAATGCTGGCTAGGGTCTCTTCAGAGCAATCACTGGAGGCGCCAAGCGTGCGCCGACACTAGCGTTGAAGCGTCTTGCCTAGAGAAAGGTATTTTTATGGCCAGATAAAACGTGTTTACCCCGCATCACAATAAACGTTTCAATACAAATTCAAAAAAAAAATCGTAGTGTAAGATTCTTCATTTTGTGTACAATGTGATGTCATAGAAAACATCAATCACGTCCTCTGTGAGCACACGATATACGCATCATAGAGAAAGCCTATTAAGACGACCTTAAAAATACAACTGGACACAAACTGGGAATTGAAAAATATTCTGGGCCCATTGCGAAATAGCTCTAGTGCGTTATCCTCCACAAAAGTGCTACTGACATTCTTACGGGCCACAGGCTTGAACACAACGTTGTATATACTGCAGTGCGTGTAAGGGACTGTATCTGTTATTTGACTGTTGTGCGTGTATGGGACTGTATGTGTTATGTGTTTATCAACGTGTAGGGTTTCAAATTGGTGAACACTACGACAACGCTCTTGGAGTGAACGGACACAGCAGACACGGTCGTAACAAACCTAACCACTACGCACACATTTGTTCAACTAATTTAAAACGATGATATTGTCAGCCAAACTATTACAACAAAAATCACGATCAACACGCTAGGATATCTTTGGACAATATTGCCATACACACCAAAATATGACAAACACAATAACACACCCAAGGCGGTGTCGCCAACGCATTACTTACCACGAGGGCCCCAGATGCGCAACTCGCAGTGCCACGCACCAGGGACCCACGCTAGAGACAACCGTTCCCGGCAACTACCACGCGCAGAAGACTCGCTCAACTCTCTCGCACATCACCAAGGCTTGCCATCAACCAGGGGTCACTACCGGTGTTGCCACTTTACCAACCATGATGATGATAGTGATGCTGGTTGGATGGATGGATATGGCTGTACCTTTTAGATCGAGCGGTGGCTAGCGCTACCAAGCCGTAATGCTTAATGGACCAATAACTAGATTTATTTTTTCTTTAAATAGCGAGGTTGAGGATTCGTACTTTACAGTGAAGGGTTTAATTTTCACTCGTGCCTTCACTTTAGCCACCAATCAGATAACCTCCTTTTAGTTGATTCTACCCGCTTAAAGTCTATTTTGCTTTCCCTGTTCCTAAACCCCAGTGCTTTGAAAAACCCTGCGCCATCATCCTGAACTATAGGGTGAAGCCCTTTACAGAACATCATCAAGTGTTCGGCAGTTTCTTCTTCCTCTCCACACGCGCTGCATACCGTGTCTACCCCTTCGTATTCGGCCCGATATGTCTTGGTTCGCAATACTCCCGTCCAGGCCTCAAACAGTAGAGAACTACCCCGAGTATTATCATTGTTACAAGCTGCCACTCTAGCGTCGCCAGCGCGAAGTCGGCGACGGGAATGACAGCAGGTTGGTTCGTTCCGTACGCAAGCAGAGACAATGAAGAGATCAGAGACGTGGGAAAACAAAACAAACTTTAGTCTAGTGATAGTGCAGCACACGGGATCTAATATAACACTTCAATACAACTAACAAAATACATTGACACTTGATACAACTACAGGGATATATAACAGAAACAATAAATCAGCTTACGAGAGAGAACTATTACAAACTACACAAACTAACAAGAATAGAACGACGGAGTAGAAAGTTCGAAGATAGAAACAGGTGAAGGCATACGTGTGATGACCGGCAGCGTTGTGTCCCCGACGATCGGATGCGAGAAGTCGAAGAGAGTTCGGGCACGACTGCGTTGTCGGCGGTGTTGCAACGCTGGTGGCTCCGGGAGGCTATGTCTTGCAGGTGACTTCGAGCAGGTTGAGCTAACTCGAGGCGAAGTCCCGATGTCTACGTTGCAGACGTTAATATCGCGTCACAACTAGACGAACGGCTAAGTTTAGGTGGCCAGCCGATACAGAGCCACACTAAAAACTTCTAGAAGAGATGCTTGTTGATCTGTTTCTACACCATCTTGGTCAGCGACTAGTCTGCCTAGCAGGGCAAACTCCTGCGCTTAAATCCCCCTCGTGTCTCCTCGCTCTCTTCCTTGGGGACAAGAGACCTCTACCTGGGTCCAATCATGCGCGTTTAATTGATGGGAAACTCCGCCCAAAATATTTTGACCCCACCCCTTTTTAATTGGGAGAGGGTCCTCAACTAGCGAGAGTGACAACCTGTCGGGTTGTTGTCATACGGCTTGGCCACCGGAGCGTTTCCCACGCTTTTCCTCGTGGGAACGGTCAAACGTTTGGCTCTCAGCCGGGCGTCTCGTAGTCTAATCCTTGTTCGGGGTATACCGCGGCCTTCTACGACCTTGCAGACGTCGCCACAGTTACAAAAGGATTAACCGTCGGCGGCGACGTTCTAAGGAGAGCACCCCATTTTGCACTTCTCGGCTCCCTTTCATGCGCCGCCGATTCTCACGGTCAGTCGGGGAGTACGGCGCCCGTTAATTGCCGTGACGCGGTGTCGCCAAAAATAGCCGTCCGTGACAATCATAGATCCTATCCTCGGCGATTTTCTGCTTAGCAAGATTTGCTTGCTATACTTTCAATGGCTTGGTACGTCATTCCGGTCGAGGAGGAGGCATCGCTGTATACGTCAAAGAACAACTAAATCATGAAATAATTGATGATCTCTCGTACATTTCACCGTGCATTGAATGTCTTGTAGTCAAAGTTATTAACGTAATTGTTGTCGTGGTGTATCGGCCACCAGCTGGTAAAAAGCAAGAATTCTTTGACTACATAGATACTCTCTTACAAAAGCTACACACAATGCGCATGCCTTTTTCAATTATTGGTGACGTCAACGTTAACATGCTAGGCGATTCTCCTCGCTCTGAACAACTTCAGTCGGGTTTGAATTCATACGCATGTGCAAACACAATAACAAGACCTAGTCGCATATCGAAAAAGTCTTCGACGCTGCTTTATATAGGTGTCACAAATCTTCTAAGCAGAAAATGTATTTAAGGGTTATTGTCATACGATGTAAGTGACCACCTACCCATATTTTCTCTTTTATTATTATCTCCAACAACAAAATAAAAAGCAGATCGTGGAACAGTATCGCAAAATAAATAATAGCGCACCAAACCGATTCCAAGCTGAAGTTGCTTCGACGAACTGGAATATAGTGCGCACAGAAAGAGATACAAACCGGGCTTTCAATCTTTTTCTTGAGCAACTTCATAGCATATATGACCGCGCCTTTCTTTTAACGAAAAAGCCTTCTAGGAAGAAGATACGCAAGCCGTGGATTAACAACGCACTGTACGACTGAATACCAGAAAAAAACAAAATGTATCACACGTTGGTGAAATCTCGCGATTTATAACTTCTTGAAGGCTACAAACAGTTCCGCAATAAGCTAAATGCTGACATCAAATGAGCCAGGATATCATATTATCAATAACCATTTGAAAAGATCTACGATAATCCTAGGAAAATGTGGAATGAGGTAAATAACTTAACTGACCGTAACAAAACAGGTTATGTTATTATGACTGATTTCGCAGACGATAAGGCAGATGTCGAAGCACTATTAGCCATGAATGAGTATTTTGTTAACGCTGGCGACTACACAGACTCATCTTGTGGGGTAACAGATCCGCCTGTAGCAGATAGAAAGCGTCTATCGCACTCACTCTTCCTTACTCCGGTTACACCTTGTGAAGTTGAAAAATTAATCTGTAAAATACATGACAATGTTGCTGCAGGTCTTGACGAAATAGCAGCCAGCCCGATAAAATATGTAGCGTCACTAATTTCACACCCGTCTTTCATACACCATGAACACTATGTTAGAAACCGGCATTTTTCCTTCAGAACTAAATATAGTTTACGTTTGTCCTATTCATAAAGGGGGTGCCTAAAAATGTATTATCGAATTACCGCCCGATATCGACTCTACCGGTACTCTCCAAAGTTTTTGAAACAATAATACACTCCATACCGGAATGCTTCTTCACTAAGAACTTGATAATCAATAAAGCATAGTATGAGTTTCAAAAGAGTAAGTCCACGGAGTCGGCGCTATTAGATACAAAAGAGGAGATATTAAAAAACATGGAAAACAGAACCCACACGATAGGTCTTTTCATTGACTTGAAGAAGGCCTTTGACACAGTGAACATGATAATTTGATATCAAAGTTGCATGATTACGGTGTAAGGGGCGTGTCAGCTAAATTAATACTAAGTTATCTTACCGAAAGAAAACAATATGTTAAGGTGGGTAACCTTGTTTCCCCAATAAAAACTGTTAAAAATGGTGTACTGCAGGGTTCAATCCTTAGACCGTTACTATTTATAACATATATTAATGATCTGTGTGACACTCAAAGATCCCCAAAATTAATTATCTACGCTGACTACACCAACATATTTTTTACAGGTAGAATACTCAAGCACATTGAAACTACCAATTTGGCTTAAAGAAAAGATATACTATGCTCTTTTTTATTCGCGTTAAAATTATAGTATGCTAGTATGGGGCACTAGAAGTGAGAAGAATTTAAATAAACTAGAAATCTTACAGAAAAAAGTTCTCCGCCTATTCGATGATTATTATGGCAACCCAAGAGAGATTCCTAGCGGTCCGTTATTCATAAAACATGGCATACTCAAAGCAAGACAGGTGTATGAATATAAGCTATTACTTTACATTTATAAAAAATAAACTCCACACTATTACGGCACCAGAAGGCACACTCAAACACTCGCTTCGAAGGCAACGATTTCGCATTCCTTCTTCTAGGACTGGATATGGTGGAGCCCTAATTGCATACCGCGCCCCAGAGCTTATAAATCATTTAGGTGAACAATTAAATAATAACCTCTCTTTAACGCAATTCAAACATCACATAAAACATCTCCTCTATAATTGAGTATAGTAAGCATCATGTTTCCAATAAACCTCTGGC